TGAGACATTTGAATTTTGGTTTGGACCACCTAACCAAGGAAAGCCATATTCGATATTTCTCAAGAACCGAAGCTCGTAGAAGGCTAAAAAATTACGTTTATACTGCTACAGGTCTGTAGCAGGTTCACAACTGCGCATGTGGGGACAGCACAGCATTACTTTGCAAAATGCACGAAAATTTCCGTTTTCTTGATTTCCAGAAGGTGGAAAGAGACGGCAACGGCGTATATAGATGTCTTATGTGGACAGTGTTTATGTGAACAAATTAGAATTTTTGTAGGATTTTTATAGGATTTTATTGATTTACAATTTCTCTCAATTTTTCGTGCAGCTGAATCATTTTAGTTTTTGGCTCGAAACTTAAGGTTAATGAGAGCTGTTGCAAAATTAAGATGCCATTCTGAGTTTGCTTTGCTCTATCGAATGGTACCTTAAAACCTACTCAGAAATCAAAATTGTATGTACTGCGATTGAAATTCAAAACGGGCATTAATTTCCGGACAACATGATACACATTGTTCGGATTAAAAAGGGAAACTAAGATGTCTCTGTTTTGATAGCCCCAGCAAAGTTGGCGGAAAGATAATCAGTCAACAAAACACCATGACAACTGCAGGTATGACTTAAAGAGGAATTGGGCAAACTATAGTGACGATAATTGCGAATATACCATTCGATTATTCAAAAAAAAGGAATTTTTTTCAACGCTTTGATTGAGTGCACAGTTTTAGGAATATGACAGCAAACGACAAGCGAAGATTGATCGAAACGATGATAATCACAAATTCTGTTTGTTGTACAGTACGTGAACATTGTGAAGAAGAACCAGGGCAAGAAAGCACTCTACTTGATAAAACACACTCATTGAAATAGAGGAAAGAACAATTAAATCATTAATTAGAAGACAAAACAGTCACTCACAGTTCACACTGCTAGACAAAAGAAGCGTACTGATAACGTGTTTGTAGCCGTGTAATAGACTTTTTCCAGTGTGTTGTGAGTGATCACGGCGCGTTCTATCACGCAGAGATTTTAGTGACGATTGGCACTTTGTAAAACGTGGAATCAAAACATAGCACTGAGGAAGAAAAAGAGAAGTGGCATGTCATGTTAGTTGGATAAGTATGAAAGAAAGAATGATACGAAGGAAAGCTATAAACTCAAAATTTGGATAACTTCAGTTTCAAACGAGCTGCATCTATCACGGGCGACTAGAGGCGCTTGCCGGCTATTACTTTGCTAACATCGTACGCTGCGTACGCCACGTTTTCAGTGTCCGCTGAGTACGTCGCGTATGCAGCGAAATCCGACCCAACCTTGAGGGAGAAAGGTTCCCTGCGTATTGGCGCTTCAACACAGTTTTACCTTTCGAATTTCTGAATTTTCGCAATAGGTTCTTAGATCCTAGTTTCTTTGCATCTATTTTTTCTCCACTAGTTGATCAAAAATTACTTTTCTTCTCAAAAACGATACTCGAGGTCAATTGCATTTTCACCTACGTTTCGCTATTCAAGAAAGATAAAGCTTGAAGGATTTCAAGCATTTAATGCCTTTTGCGGGCATACGCCGAATGCGTTCTACGCCATAGTCGATGAGGCTACTGAAAACGTGCGGGCCTTTCACAGTGACTTGTGTGAGGGCGCTATAAATGCTCGATTGAACAATTTGTTCCACAGTTCGACAGGATAGGATTCTTTTTATCAAAGCACCGCAAGTTTTAACCGATTCCGCTCTCATCGGCAACTGGTAAGCACATTTGTTTGATTTGTGCAGTTGCATTCACCAAGTTTTGGCCTAAGGCCCCGGTCAGACTTCACGCGACTTAATCGTCGCGATCTAATCGCCAAGATTTCCATTCATTTTCATTTCACATTCAAAAGTGTCGGGCTGGAAAAGTATCACAACCGAATGCAAGTTGATCGGCATGGAATGATGTTGTAACAGTTGTCTCGTCGCGACTTAGTCGCGACGATCAAATCGCGTGAAGTCTGCCCGGGGCCTAAGGGGGCGAGTCACAATTATTGGCTTTAAGTAGGAACTTTCTATTAGTATTCTCTAAGCGATCAAAGGCATTATTTTCCGTATAGGAGTATCAGGGGCGTAAGTGACGTCCCAAGCGGTGATGGCCTTCTGGTGCTTGTGGTTGTTTATGACAAATTTCTAGAAGTGAACTACTCAACAATATGCTTTCTCTGTTTTTTTTCGGTTAGTGGGAAATCTTTATTGGGCACAAAGGGAGGTCACCCATTACCAGAAAAGAAAGGTAGGAGATAATCGGCTTCCATCGCAGTATGCTTGTGTAAGATGAGAAGCATTAATCGGCCAAATCGACTAAAGCGAAAGCTAACCAAATAATGATATGACCATGTTATTGACGAATACTGCAACGCAAAGCTTGTGTCAATGTGCTAAAATTTAAGTCGAATAAAAACGTTGTATAATACCAATGCGTCATCTCTCGCAGAGGTTCGCACCAGGGCCTGGCACCGATGGTTTGGGGTCAAACTGGACTTCGTTTTTGGAGTTAGAAGCAACGGGGACATCGTTTTTATGAGGTCCTGGAGGAAGCCCCAAAAAACACGACGAACATGTCAGGTCTCACGAGTTGAACGTGTTCTTTCGCAAGCGCGGAATTTTAAATGCAAGACTCAAACAAACAAATGGCTTGTTTACAGCGCACAAACAATCACATGGCTCCGAATTTGGGCTATGAGTATACAATTTTACTCCAAACTATGTTATGTAAAAAGTTCCCAAAACTTATGTGTCTGAATATCCGTTCCGGATTTGTTGGTTTCTAGACCAACCACCGAACCAACTGGGTTGGTTCGGAGCATAAATTTCGGAGAGTTCACATAAGTTTTGGACCTTTTTGATTTGGACGATTAAAACGCACAAAATTCTATTATATAGTGAAGAGAGCGAATCAAACTATTGCCTCTCCTCTTCTTTTGAGCCAAAAGTAGTGCAAATCTATACGCTTTGATAGATATTGCGCTCCAATCATGTCCTTTGAACTATGTGGCGAAAAATGCACTGCCAGATAGTTGAGGCCACAGATTTGGTTGGCCTAGGAGGTTCTCGACATTCTGAGCGCTAAAATGGTACACTACTCAATGACAGAGCCTTTAATCAACTCGAAATGTTTTCTTTTTGCTTTTTTTGTTGTATTAGTTACCTCAAAATGCGCTTTTTTCGCTTTTTCAATGTTATTTTGACTGATTAAGGGTTTCCCTACTGATTGTTACGTCAAGAGGGACTTCGTAAATTTTCGCGAAGTCATTGGGGACTTTCCAGAAACGCTTCAAACCAACGCGTGCCGGGCCCTGGTTCGCACTGATCCCATTATCCGTATACCCCTGTGTAAAACAGCGTGCTACGCTGAACATCACAATTAAATTGTAAACATCTACTCAGTTCTGAGGGCTTTCCAGTTAAGATTAGTGACTTTCGGTAAAGAAACGTTTCCGCCGATGATCACTGCGAATTTGGGCCCGTTAAAGATCTATTTTGGCTTCGTAGTTGCTACAAGAACCTACAGAAGCTACAGTTCTTGTAGCAACTACGAAGCCAAAATAGATCTTTGGCAAATTTTTTTCTTGAGTAATACCGTGAAAAATGACGATCTAAGCAGTTATTTCTTTTTGGTGCCATTTTTAGCAGAAAAGATTTTTATTGCTTTCGGATTGGTAATGGCTTGACTTCGAATTCGTTACTTTGAGAAAAGTTTCAAATAATGACCCACTTTTTGCAACTGGAGACTCTGTAGACCATTTAATGCGCATTTTTCTTAAAGGCAGCGTACATCCGAAAACCTTCGATGTTTTTGTCATTGGGGCCTTTCCGTGCCGCTGATTAATTACAGTTATGACATTGAAATCCTCTAAAAGTCCCAAAACCCCCGATTTTCGGGTACCCTCTCTTCAAAGGGAGGACGAGTTCCCAACTGCTCGGCCCCGTCGGCATGCCAGCAACTGCAACAGCATGACAGCCTACAGTCACAACTGCAACCGCTACATATGCTGTCGTGGTTCGTCGTTCGAAGGAGGCGCACCGCAAAAAGCAACTGCACTGTTGCAACTGCAGTTGCAGATGCAACAGCAGTTACTGCAGCTTACGCTGTCGTGGATTCGTCCGGAGGAGGAATGAAAGAAAAGGGGCGGAGTGAAAGAAAATTGAGGGGAGTTTTCTCCGCTCAGAAGCAACATTGGGAGACCGGACCAACGCAGTTGGTCTTCTTCTGGGCCCAGTATATACACAGTATAGAAAGATCTAGATAATTAGGTCACTTAGATTTTGGGTGTACGCTGCCTTTAAGGACCGCTTATCGGACCAGCTCCCTCTTCTGCATGTGGATCCTTCAGTACGCGGCATTTTAATAGGGTAAGTTATGCAAAAATATGGCTTATGAACTTATCAGCAACTCGCTCTGTGTGACAAACAGACAGACAGACACACACCACACGCGCAAAAAACAACGTTCAGTCTTGATTATAAAACCTGTTTCTGCTTCGCAAAGGTTCGCAAACGGTCTAGTCGCAACTGTGGTACTAGTACTGTGGTAAAGTACTAAACAAAAATGGGATATTATCGTTTTACGCTTGCTTTGACGGGTGCTCTATCTTTTTGGGAATTTGATGTGCGATAACGAATACAGTTGAAATCAACATTTCTGAAACCAATTCTGATAACATTTTGAAATAGCACGGCCGCCGAATCTAATCGTAGTAAAGCGCTGAGCGTCTTTTCGTGCGTGTGTGAGTGTGTGTATGTCTGTCCGTCATTCCCTTGAGCGAGTTGTAGACAAACTTACCACTTATAATCAAGACTAGACTTGACTTGTAAGATTATTAATGCATCACAAAATGCTCGGTCATTCGCCAAAGACAAGTCAAAAACTCTAACTTGTTTTTGAACAAGCAAACTTCCCTTTCATTCCTGATAGAAAACAACTTTCTCACCATTCGGTAATTCAGAGGGTGGATCATTTGTTCATTCGTCGAGAAAGCAGGCTGTCTACTATCTAGTGGCTCGAATCACTTGCGGTCAACAATTTTAGCCAATCCAGCAATTTTTAAAGTAAGCACAGTTCCGTTATTCAAGTATTTCAAGCAAGGGGATACAAAAGTAGGCGCACATAACTCTTAATTCCTCTTTATAATGACATATTTGCTTACAAGAGGTTTAGTCCACTTACATGAGAGTTCTCTGCTTCACCACCTAAGCCGCAAAACGTTCTCTTGCGCAATGGAAAACTTGCTCCTTGAAAAGTACGGCGAATTCGTGAACGTATTATACTATCAGTTTGTCTACAGGTTTAATGAAGATGGGTCATCATAATAAAGATGAATAATGCAAAAGAAAGCTTCCAAAGAAATGGTCAGATTTCGAAGTGGCCATTCTAGACAAGCTGCAAGCCTGATGCCGCATAGAACGCTGACTTCAGATCTTTTCGTGTCTGCCGAACGCATTTGTAGGCGAAGTTGTGAGCAGTTTTAGTGCGAAAAAATCGTATATAAAGACTGCAGAATTGGGATCAATATTGACTTTTTTCACTTTTAGATATGGGTTGTATGTTGTAAGCTAGCTGCATGTTTTAGGCCAAATTTGCCCTTTATGTGCACGATTTTTTAGCAAAAATAATGGCCTTGGCTCCTCCATAAAAGTGTTTAAAAGATATAGAAGACAAATTTAGAGTCAACGTTTTATGCCGCATCCCGCATCTAATGTTATGCAGCTTGTTTGGAGTAGCCACTTTGATTCTGGCCATGCCATTTTAGTTGAGGCGACGGATTGGAAAGAGACAAATGGTGTTATGGGGAAGTTGAGGCGCCAATTTTACTCTTCCTATTAGTTGCCATAAATAAAGATATATCCAAGTGAATTGCCGCTTGCAATAGGCAATACTGCTTTTGTGGTTAGTGGTGACAGTCTCTAATCTACACGGCTGAAGGGGATTCGTATTGTCTCAAATTTTGACAAGTTGGGGCGTACAAGCCAAAACTGGTAAAGTCACTGAATTTAGTTGGTAATCGAGGGATTAAGGTTTCAAACAACGTGTCAAAATTATGACCTTACAATAGCGGCAGGCAGGGTACGAGAAAGTGCTCTATGTTGTTTGAAAATGCTTTTGTATTCTTGACAAGAAATTCAACTTTTTGTTTATCAGGAAGAAGTTACTTACATTTCACGGTCTACCTCCTTTCGCTCTGTCACCTGCTTTTTCTTTTATTCTCCCTCCTAAGGCCTCGGGCAAAGCTCACGCGATTTGATCGTCACAATTCGATCGTTACAAGACAAGTGTTGCGAGTTCATTGCATGCGATTTTCTTGCATTTCGGTTGCGATAGTTTTCCAACACGATTAATCGTGACCAACTGTCACAACCGAAATACATGAAGATCGGCATGCAATGAACTCATAACACTTATCTTGTAGCGATTGAATAGCGACGATCAAATCGCGTAAACTCTGCCCGAGGTCTAAGACCACCTATCAGCGCTGCACGAGGCAATTGGTCTTCCTCATTGCGAAAGAAAAAAGCTTAGTGCTATCGTTTACACAAAACAAAAGTGCTCCTATTATGCGACTTCCAGGCGCATAGCACATGGAACCACAGACCGGTGATGCATTTGAGTACGTTGGAAAATTAGGTGAACTTCCAATTTAGAACATTACTTTTTTACTCTATAGTTGTCAAAAACTACCGGTGTATGCAGTATCAAATCTCTACAATACCTCACTCACTATGCGGGGTAGCCGAAAGGTTTGGGCGTTGAATTGTTACCCGCAAAATTTTTCTAAATAAAATGAAGCTTATAATATTGTTTTCGCATACTAGAAACGGAATGTCTCAATATGCTATTCCTGCAGGAGTGAGTTCTCTTCGAAAGCATACAAACTTCAGCAGCGTATCTCGGAGGAGCTAATCATCATGAAAAGTCGTCTGAGTATAGAAGTTGCGACTATCCGGTTGCGAAGTTAATAGATCGAAAAACATGCGATTTTTTAGATGATACAAAGAATAATAGTGTGCTCCAAAGCAAAAAATTCTTTACTTCCAAAATTTAGAAGAGTTTAGTTTGTACGATCATCAAATCCTTTTTTTTATAATAAACTCCCGATGCGTGCAAAAAACGCGACAGCTAAATTGCTCCTCCATCGTTTGTTTATAATGCTGTGTTTGAATAGACGCGATTCGACGACTGTTGCCTTTTCTTGAAAAAGCGGCGGCATAATCCTGAGCGCAGAAGAGGACGCAGACGTTGAGATGACGAGATAGTATCAAACACGCAGGGTGCGCTCCGCTTCCACAATTCTTTGTTGCAATATGAAAGCGCTTGTCAAGTGTATTCAAATATATCCAAGCATGTGATGGTGACGAAAGAGGTGTCCGCTCGGGATGTAATGCCATGCACGCGTCCATGGATACTTGTCATTTCACATTGTCATTTCGTCCATTCCACATGTCTAGACCGTCGATCATGCCAGAAGCTGACTCATCAAACTAAATCTGTTAAACAACCGGGCCAGACAGTTACATGCTGCAGGCATTGCCACAATAGGATGCTTATGTTAGGGAAGTAAGGTAACTGGTGAATTTGCTGCGACTAAGGTAAATCAACCATTGTCCAATCAAGCATTTTAGTGCGTCACATACAGTTGGACATAAGTCCGCATTTAAAAATAAGCAGATAAGCAAGATAGACGCTCTTCACTTCAAACTTTGCTGTGTCGTCAAAATACTGTAGCGATTGGTAATTGCGCAGAATTCGCACGCATTAAAGCATTTACTTTGGGTAGACTTTGGTTCTAAATTGACCAACAAAGAATATTTTTGTTTGATTTTTCCATGAACTCCATCAGAAAAGCTGCTTTTGATAGCGTTTGATTATCACTCTTGCCCTCGAGAGTGAAAGGATAAGCAAGCTTTGTTTTAGGTTAAAGAAAACGCTCAAGCTTTCGTTGGTGCAAGGAATATCTTCACTTGTTTTCAACAATCAATGAGTTCATCAAACATTCTGAATACCTGAGAGCATTCTTTGGGTTTTACTTTCGCTATAATAAATGAAATGGTGGGCAAGCCAGAGTTTTGCTGAAAAGGTAGTCGAAGAATACTGTGGCGGGACTTTACAGGGGAATTTTCTCGTAAATAAGTTCATGATTGGCGAGAAATGCGCATATAAAAGCACTTACGCGTTTGGGCGAGAAATTTTAGCGTTTGCAAAGAAGTTTGCTTTGCTGCAAAAGTCTGCATAACTAGGGTACAACACTTTATACACATCTTTCTCGCAGCTTAACTTTATTTCTACTAATCCGTTCCTGAAAAAATTGCCTTGGAACACTCCTACATTTCTCCTACGCAATATTTACATTTTAGTCTTGCTGATAAAACGGCTTGATAATTTCTACAGCAGAAACTTTTATAGAAAATACCATTCAATATCTCTCATTGTTCTCTTCAAGTACTTTTAGAAAACCTACTTCTATTTCTATAATAGGATTACATTATGTACGTTTTTGGGCTCGCTGGAAACGGCTCACGTTTAGGAGAGAACAACATTAGATAAAATATTTTCGCTTCACAGGCGGCTTTCGTAAAATTTGTTGAAAAGCCTGCATCCCAAAGATTTACTTCGAGAAAATCCTGCTTTTGCCCCAGGATTGCAACTCGCAAACTTTGGTCTCGCTGGAAAAGAGGCTTTCAGCGATTTCTACGGCAGCACACCCTTCACAAAAATTTTCATTCGCAGTCGATTCTTATGAACTCTCTGGATGCTTTGGTATTGTCATACTTCGACCTTGAGACTTGTACACACTTTGGTCTCGGTGGAAAGCCGACTCACTTCCGAAACAGGAAGCCATTACCAAAAGATTTTCGTGCTGCTGACAATGATGAAAGTTTCTAAGGGCTGCTCTTTGAAGCATATGCTTGGTAATCTAACTCTGCTCCCAGGCTGCAACTTGCAAAAGAGGGTCCAGCTGGGAAAGTAGCTTAAAGGCAGTGACTCGGCAAATCTCAACCTATTCATCGCTCACCTGGGGTTATTCATCACGCTGATCACAAGAATCCTTTAGAGAGCTCGAAAACGGCGAAAACGAGCTCTTTTCAACCCCCTTCCCTTCAAAATTGGACGAGTGGAGCAAGGCTGATGACGCTGAACCGTTGCGGGACCCAATGATTGTAGCACTGCGGCGGGCAGCCTCTAATGGTGAGAAGGATGTTGCCAACTCGACCGAGTGCGTGTAAAATTGGCTTGCGCGTGTAAATTTGAGAGCGATTTCTTCGACAGGGAAGGTATGCTGTGTAACCGGGATTGCATTGTTTTGATACTTGACGATAAGGAACCTAACGCGTTAAGATCCTAGGTTGTCAAGTTTTTCCGATCCATTGCCTTTGATGGTTTCTATCGCAGAACACTTTTAGAAATAACAATCGATCTTCAATTTTCAATCGATCTTCAAAACTTTGGGAAGATCCTACCTATGCTCTCACAATTACATTTTGGAGGTTTTGGTCCCGATGGAAAAGAGACTTTGCGGCAGAGCATTTATAGATAATAATCTCAAAAAATCTTCAAAGAATTCTTTGGATGCCTTTAGAGAACTGCAATTCTCCTCCCATTGCAACTTACAAAGGTTGATTCCGCTGAAAAACTCTTCTAAATGGTTCCCACCCTTACAGAGATCTTTCGCAATTAAATTTCATGAAATATCGAATGGCTTCAGAAAAGGCCTGCTGTTGCTCCACGACAAAGTGCAAAATTGGTCCCCTCTAAATTCGGTAATTTCTACTGGACAGCATTGCAAAAATGATTTCGTTTAGCAGCTAAGTTTTATAAATTTTATTGGAAAATGCTTCGTCGTGTCAGCTCTGGGAAAAATTGCCTTGAATAAAAGCCCGTACTCTTGTAGGCGAAGTGGAGGTACCTTAAAAGGGTTCGCGTCATTTCTTTTGAAAATCGTCATAGTTTAATAAAATTGGAACTGCTGTTATGGCTTGAAAAAATGATGGTACTTTGTTCGAAACGGAAGGGAGTATAAGGTGTTTTACGTCACTTTTGGGGTAAGCCAAAAGGAGAAAATTTTTTTGGCTGTGAAATTCTCTGGGAAGATCAGGAAGAGGAAGTTAAAATTCTACAAAAAATCGAAGCAGATCGTCAGCCCGCCGTCACGTGGGATCGGCAAAAACTGGGATTTTACCTTTAAGCCGTCAAAATCTTTTTACAAAAAAAACCTAATCGAAAAGCCCACAGAGACCTTAAATTCTCAATCTGTGATTCGGGCACTTACCAATGTAGCCACCCAACCCACTTGCTAGCAACCCATAATGTCGCTAGTCTCCTATAAAAAGCTGAATTCAATTCAAAACCGAATAGCAGCTTCAGAAGCTGAATGTCTGTTAGCACACATATGGGGGGAAAGGAGGCTGTCGTAGGCTACTCGTCATCAATCAATATCGATTTTATAGACTTTTACCGATTTTTTGTAAAGTTCGGGGCTTAGAGTTGCCACATGGGGGGGGGGGTGTAATCGAGCATGCTGATTATGAATACAATATTAGTTTTCGAAGTTTCTGTTACTTTCATAGCGATTTTATCGATTTTTTGCAATGTTCGAGCTACGGGGCTGAGATTTGGCACAGAGGGGGGAGGGGAGGATCGAGCATGCTGAATACGAAAAAACATCAATTTTTGAAATTATCCGTTACTTCCATCGATATTATCGATTTTTTTGCAGAGTTTGAGGTCGGGGCTAGGAATTGGCACAGAGGGATAAGTGAGCAGGCTGATGACTGATACAGCGGGAATAGGGAGTTGGAGTTTGTATGTGGAAGTGGGCACAGGGAAAGGTGTACAGGGATAGAGATGGGACCTTTTCGTAGTGTTTTGACAGGGCCGGGCATAGACGGGTATGCCAGCTAGCTTGATATAGCTAGCCTCTTAATATACCGATGGTATATTGGCGTCTTGAAAATGTTTACGAGAAAGATATGTTACATGTTGCAGCGCCCATTCTTAGCGGCAATCCTGTACACCTAAGAAGCACGATAAGAACTAACTATACTCTATATTCATAACTCCACAAGTTAGGCTGAGAAAAAGGCAAGTAAACGCCTAACAACTTTAACACATTGACGACAAGGCCGATTTTTCGATTACTGCCATTTCGGACAGGAGCCTTTTTTGCTCTGCCAAACTTACGACCCACCCGTAGGTCGTATTGTCCGAAATGATAGTCTTTTTGTAACAAATTCAAAACATGTCTCTGAGAATATCGCCAGAAGGGTTATCGAAGGCGCTGATTATCAAAATATGATTTATTTCAGTTTTTGGCAGTATACGGTAAGGTTACGGTAGTCACTCTGTACGAACCCAACATCACGGATTTTCGTGAAAAATTGTGTTTTGGGGTTATTTCACATGCTGATCACGATTATAGTGTCCATTTTGTTCACTACTTTCCCACAGTGGGACTACGGTAGCAGTACGGAAAATTTTTTTTAAAAATCAAGAGACTGATGTAAGAAGGCGGTATTAGAACTTAAGACTATTAATTTCGTAATCAGCATGCTAAAAACCTATATCTGCAACGTTTGAGCCTCCTGGGATGAACAGTGCGAAAAATCAATAAAATCAATAAAATCGATAATTTTTGATGGGTTGACATTAGTTTCATGCTCTCCCTGTATTTCTTGTACATGTAAACTTGAACTGTCAAAAACAGCACCACTTTGCGAGAAACTCGAGCTAAATCTGTGCCTTACCTCTATCTACGGTATACTTACCGTAACGTTACATTACAGTATCCCTGACCCGGACCACTCCGGCTACAGCTTCGCCAAGGTGTCCCCAATCATGTGCCAGAAAACCGTAGGATTCCATCGCATGCTGGCAAAGTTAGAGCTTTCGAAATCTTACGACCCACCGGTGGGTCGTATTGTCCGAAATGGCAGTACACGTACGACCCACCGGTGGGTCGTATTGTCGTCAATGTGTCAATAGACCTACTTTTGATTTTAAAGAGAATTTGAGTAGAACTTTTCCATGTGCTACTTAAGGGGTAAGTCACCCTTTAGTTCTTATCTCTACCTAGGGAAGAAGCATGGCTTTCCCATTGCGGTTCCTCAGTCTTCTGTGATATAAACCCGTGAATTCATTTAACGCAAGCTCCAATATACTTTACTTGCAAAAATCAAAAATTCTTTCCTCAACCTCTTTTTTCTCATCCCCTTTAAATTCCTCATTCTTCTAATTTATTATGCGAGTATGGTTGATGGGGGAAAAGTAAAATAGGCGGTATCGGAGGAATTTGGTAAGATAAACAGCGTCTTCATTTCCTGAATTTTCATTACTAATATATTGTGGCAATGCTACCGGAGTTGACATGGATTGTTTTGTAAGTGGGCGGAACCCAAAGGCGGTAAATCCGCAATGAACAATCGAAATTTTAATGCGGTAGATTGCTTATCCTTCTCCTTTTCTAATTCAAAACAAAACAGATTAATCATATCGCACAGTTTGCCCTGCCTGCCGAAAAAAATGCCTGAAGACCCGTACGCGCAAGCCCTCCTTGCAGCCCCCCTCCACTTAAAAAAAGGGCTTTGAAAAAAGCCATTTTCGTCATTTTCAAGCTCTCTGAGGTAAATTTGCAGCATCAGCGCTTCGGATAACCCAGTAAGCGAGAACTGCTAAAAGACAAAATTTGCCAAGCCGCTGCCTTCAACATGTGGGGAATTTGGGGAATTTTTCGCGTATTTGGAAACCAATGCGTCGCCTCCGCTTCGCGGAGGTTCGCACTGGCTCTGTCAACCGTATGCTTTATTCATGCTCCCAAAATGATGACTTTGAAACTCTCCGCGCGAGGCTGTACATCATAAATGAATTGTAAACAACTGTTTATTCTTGAAGCATCTCCATGTAAGATCGGTAATTTTGAGAAAGAAAACTTTTTTGCCAAGGAATAAATACGAATTCGAACAGATTATTGATTTGGGCTTGATAATTGTTATAAAGACAATAGTCATTTTGGGTTACATTTCCATGCAAAAATCTTTTCAGATATTTATGTAAAACCTTGTCAAATCGACTCCCTACGCGATCACTACTTTTTGGCGCTGTTTTCGCGGAAAAGCAAATTTTTGAGCACTTTTTGAGCTATAATTCTTGGAGCGCGGATTTGCTTGTCAGGCAAATCAGGACTTTGCAAAAAGTTGAATTTGTGACCTAGCTTTGCGCGCCAAAAGCCAGGTGGACCCGTTTGAGGCGCAATTTTTGAAGGACCCGCTTATCGAACCGGATCGTCCTTGTGCATGGTGCCTACACGCTGGTACGGTATGCTATGCAAAATTGTAGCACGATAGCTTGGCTGCAGCTGCCTCTATGAATTTCGTGACAGACAGACAGACAGACACAGACAGACAGACAGACAGACACACACACACACACACACACACAAAAGACAGACGTTTAGCGCTTTATTATAAGTCATGATAGAGGAGGTGGAGGTAGGTGGGCAGTCAGTGAAGGTGCGGAGCTTCATCAAGTTCTGACTTCACTGTTTTACTTGGCACATGGAATTTTTGAAGTGCACAACACTTTCAAGTTCTTTTCGACGCTTTTGAGGCAGATCTTGCAGTTGCGTTTGCCAAGTACCAAGTACTCATGGGAAGAAACTGGATTTTTGGGAGAGCCGAAAATAAATAAAAATAAATCTTTAAAGAATCAACAATTTTATTCGCAATATGTTTCACAGAATATGAAGTTGCAAGATTCTGAAGATTGCGCAGTATAATGTGTTCGAAATAGGCAACTGCATGCAAGGATTTAGATCCTGAAATTCTTATGGTCAAGTAAATTGGCAAACAGTGCTAATTCGTGCATTTGAGAAGCTACGAAGTGAAATTCAATTTTTTTGTCTTCATATTCGCGCACACCGGGGGCGGAGGAGGGGACGGGAAGGTAGGATGAGTGTCTTCAAAGGAGCTGGTCTCAAGAATCAAATGAAAAGACTTTTTTGATGATAGGATTGACAAGATTGAAAAATCATATATCAACCAGCATTTATACGCTTGTAAAAATCTACTCGATGGAGGATATGACAACAGAGTGACTGCTGTTTACAGAGCTTCAACGTTGAGAACGTCAACTGTCAAAAATGCGAATTACCTATGTCATCATTCGTATCATCATCATGCATTTATCTCTGTTCCTGTGCAACATCTCGTCTGAAGGTAAAAAGGTCTGACTGCATGATCATACTTGACGAATTATTACGCTTGTACTGTAGAGACGTTTACAAGATTTTGTCTGAACGCAGGACGTCATGGCGAAGGAACACTCAAGGTATGCAAAACTTATATTAGGCAGTAACTTAGCGCATCGTATACGCATACAAGGAAATAATCAAAAATCAAGTGGCTATTCTCATCGAGCAGCATACTACTGGCAGCAGCATAAATCGCCCATTTTCAAATCTACTTAATTTGCGAACGCCTTCTAGAGACGAAGTTATAATCTAGTATATTGCATGATATTGTGTGCGAGAAATGCAAACTTGTACACGCAAACCCATATTTAGTTTGGTTTTCGGTGGAGCATACAGATAGTTTGCTTTATACAGTTCATTCCAGTTTGAGCAAGAAGAGCATTTATGTGTCTTATTTTGCTCATGTGTACAGTTTCATCGCAATGAAGCTGCTTATACCTTTATTCACAAGAGTCTTCAGCAAATTCGCAAGACAAACTTGGAATCAGGGTTATTCTGCACCTAGTGTGCAGCTTGTTGTGAATGGCAGTTACGACTTCTGGGAGGGTATGTGTCAAAATCCATTTTGTGTTTGGGCATCATTCACTATAGAAAATAATCGCCCGGCAAGGGATGTATGAAACTTGCGGGCTCCCGATCCGGAGGTTCAGCGCACCCCACGCAAGGTCGCACATTGCCTGTCCATTTTTAGCAGAAGGTGAAACATAGAAAACGAGCAGCTGTTTCTAGCATGAAGTAAACTAAACAATTTTAGTCCATTTGAAATTTAGAAATCATAGCACGATAAGGTTTTTATGGTATGGGTGAGACCGCGAAAACCAGTGATCGTTACTTACATAGATACTTAGATGGCCCGTCCACACGTGATGTGCGGGCCCCAGTACAGAAGTTGCCATTGATCCCTGTCCCTCGCTTCGGACATCCATGATCTTCTTGGTCGTCGTCGGTAGCTGCGTCCACAAGTTTCTTTCAGGAGCGAAAATCGCATCCAGCTGATTTCTCAGCTGGTCCATCCGTTCCACGAACACGTCTGCCCATCTCGTCGGTGGTCTTCCTCGAGAACGTTTGGCTTCGCGAGGAAGCCACTCAGATGTTCTTAGTGTCCATCTATCGTCTGTTCTTCTCATTATGTGAGCGGCCCATCGGTGTTTCGCTTTCGCAACGTATTCCGCTTGGTCACGAAGACGGGCCATTCTTCTCATATCTGTACTGCGAAGTCCGACTAGATGTTGCTTGTTTCGGGTCATCTTCAGAAGACTACGCTCGAGTGCTCTGTGAGTGGTCTCTAAAGCTTTCGACGTGGCTACGGTGTCGGCCCAAGTCTCAGCTGCGTAGCAGAGCGCTGGGAGAACGGTTGAGTCGAACAGGTGGGCACGAGGCTCCGAGTCCGTCAGTTGGTCGGTGGCTTCCTTCAGAGGCCCGAAGGCGGCCCAGGCTGCTCTTCTTCTCTTGTTAAGTTCTTCCCTCAAGTCGTTCTCCATGTTCATCGAACGTCCGAGATACACGTAAGAAGGCGTCTCCATAATCGGTATGTGCTTTCCAGTTCCATTTCTGCATCTTCGCAAAGGGCGTTCCTCATGAACTGAGTCTTCTTCCAATTTACTCGCAATCCAATCTTCTTCCCTGCTTCGTTTAGTTCCCTCAACATCGTCCCTGCTTCAGTGATATTGCTCGAGAAGAGAACGATGTTGTCCGCAAAACGAAGGTTGGACAGGAATCTCCTATCAACTGGTATGCCTCTCTCGTTTCAGTCCAGTGACTTCATCACCCACTGCAAGGCCGCGGTAAACAGCTTCGGCGAGATAGTGTCGCCTTGTCGAACCCCCTTTCCGGTTGGAATGGTCAGGGGACGATGGAATAGCTGCATCGTTGTTGTACCTCCCTTGTAGCAGTCGGCTAGTGTCCTCATGTAAGCTAGGTCCACTCCTTGATCGACTAGCACAGACAGGATGGCTTTGGTTTCGACGCTGTCAAAGGCTTTCTCGCAGTCGACGAAAGTTAGGACGAGAGGCGTCGGTATTCCCGCCATTCTTCTATGACTCTCGAAACCGTCTGGATGTGGTCCATGCAGCTGAACCCCTTGCGGAATCCAGCTTGTTCTTGGGGTTGGGCTTTCTCTACCCTAGATATGCAAGCGAGGATAATCTTCGTGAAAAGCTTGTACAGCACACTCTGAAGATCCTCCCATTCGCCCTTCTTGAAGAGAAGGAGGTTTTTGACGTTCTTCGCTGGTAGGGAATCTTCTCCTTTTGAAGGTAAGATGTCAAATGCGACGCTAGAACCTAGTGTAGATGGTGTTCCGGCTCGCAGAAGTTTGATGGAAAGATGATCTGGTCCTGGAGCCGTGGATGTCTTCATGGTCTGTATCGCAATACGCACTTCAGCAGGTAGAATCTTTGGTGGCACTTCTCCAGTGGGAATAACGGGCATCGGCACGGATGTTGATGAGCGAAGAGGTTGGTGTAGAAGTTCTTCGCGATAGATTCCATCTTGTATCGAGAAGAAGTTGGGGTCGTTGGCAGGGCCCAGCACGAGTCGGTTTCTAGGGTTTCTGAAAACGAGTCTCCCCTGACTTTCGGAAGTTTTACGAAGTCCTTTTTGACCAACCTGCTTAGGAGAAGATGAGTACAAGAATACTAGTCTGAAAGAAAAGACGTAAGATAAGAGTGAAAATCCAAATTAGAACTGAATACTACGCATGCACAAGACTTTGGCATTAGAGCGCGATATTAACAAAGCGAGAAGATATGAAGGCAAAAAACAAAGGGGCAATGATATGAAAATGTCTTCACGCTCAGGGATAGATTTTGGGCCGGGGAATCTGTCCATGCTAAAAAGATCCGAAACTTACGTGAAGTGGCAGAAATATATGCACCAGACAATCTCAGATCGTCTGGTGGCCGTCTGGAGACGATCTGATTTTGGAAAAGGTATTACTTCACATAAGTTTTCAAATCTATTTACATAGTCCTTCCGCAAATAATTTTTTACACATACAGTTCAATTTTCGTGTCATATGCTTCTGTGTGCGCTGTAAACAAGCAATTTGTTTATTTCAGCCTTGCTTTCAAATCGCGCGCACTTTTCGCCATACACGATAAAGCATGTCAATCGTGTGATAACCTGTCCGAAAAGCTTGTGTTCGACTAAATGGCGCTTATTCTTGGTGCTCAGCCCTGACCTCCGCAAAAACGATATCTCCTTTGCTGTTTGCTTCGAAAACGAAGTCCAGCCTGCTTCCAGACGATCTGTGCCTGGCCCTGGTCATTGGGGTCCCGTCATCGTTCAATAGTGCAGTCAGCGGTACATGATACTCGCAGAGGTCCCTTGGCACTTCTTAAAACTTCGTCTTTCTTCGGCTGCTTCCAGTAACTTGGCTTGCCTGTACTTTCTGAGATCCTCCTGCAAAGCTTTTCTGCAACTAAAGTTGGCTATCAGTCGCTCGAGATGGGTTGCATTCGGATCTTGCCTCAGAAGTCTTCTTCTTTTGAGCAATTCCTTGATGGTTTTCGAAATGCGTTCCAAGTTCCTCTCAGAAGTTACTGAGGCGCACTCTCCGAAAGCTCGCAATCCTTTCAGAAGCCGGTCGTAGTCGTACGTTGGGTCCTCCGCGATGGGCCAGTCACAACTGGATATGAGCTCTTCCGGCCTGTTACCGTCATAAACGACATTCTTCCTTCTTGCGGTACTAGGCAGACCTTGCAGCAGCTTTCGACTGAATCGTACCTCTGCTCGAAAGAGACGGTGATCGGAGCCTGTAAAAGGATGAAACTACTAAGACATCGAGCAAGCTCCACCTTCGGTCAGTGAGAATGTGGTCGATCTCCGAGTCGTTCCTTTGGGCGATTCCCAAGTCCACCGGCGATGTTCTTTCTTCATGAAGATGGAATTTCCATGGAAAAATCGTGCGACGGAGAGACTCAACGAGAAAGTTGCCGTTTTCGTTCCAGGCCCATAGCCAAACTTCCCTATCCTATATTTTTCTTCTAGTAGCATCCCGATGTTTGCGTTGAAGTCGCCCACAACGAACTTGTAGAAGGACTTTTCGTTGCGGGCGACCTCCTCCACGTCTTCGTAGAAAGCATCTAGTTCTGAGTGGTCAGCTGCTGATGTTGGAGAGTAGCAGTTAATGATGCTGATGGTCTTCTGACGTGGAGGGCGTAGTCGTAGGATGGCTAGTTGGGGTGACATCTCGTGCAAATCGACAAGATGGATGAACGATAGATGGGTGAACGACAAAGCCAACGCCCCTTTCGTGATGGAACCTTCTCATCATGAATGAGGAGCGTCCCATCATTCGTCTGTCGCACGTCTTTCTTCCTGGACTTCGTTTTCTGCCGAGCGATGATGTGGTACTTGATGTGCTATGCAGCGTCGAGAAGAGCGTGGAGGTCGGCGTTTGTGGAGACTGTCCTGGTGTTGTAGGTGCAGAGCATGAGGCAGTCTCCGTGGCGTGTCGTCCGGGCAGACGTGTCGTTTTTGTCCAATCCAAAAGGCGCCCTGAGGACTCTGACACCGTTCTTGCTACCACCCGGTGCCATAGGCCATATCCGATGTGCAGGGTTTCTTTCTATTCTTCTAACTGGTAGAGTAATGGAATTTTTCCCTTACAAGAGCAGACTTACTAGGCCAACTCTTGATTTCGACGGGGCGATCGCTGACCCCGGGCTTGGAGCGGGGAGAACCCTAGCGACCTGAAAACCAGACGGCAGTGGATCTGGCCTGCCGGCTCTTAGCTAGGCATCCGGGCGAAACCGGAAACGTCGAGCTCCTTCACAGCTTGTGAGGCCCTGCCAGGGTATACACTCGGCTGTGCATCGCAGCTTGACACTCAGTGTCACCCCCACGCCACGATGAGGCGGCCGACTTTTGTGGGGGTGATTGTTATTGCGAACTTATTTCGATTAGCTGCCTTCTCCGGTCCCGCCCGGCCGAGATCCAGAACGGCCCGGCTTAACGTCTGCTCCAAATCAACTTATGGATCACCATTAGTCTCCATTTCCTTATCTTCTCCTCCTTTTCTGCTTCAGCTCCGAGTTTGAATCACAACGCTTCTGTATCCGTGGTGAAATTGCTT